CTTCTGAGGAGTGGCTGGTGGGTTTGAACCGCCAACCTTCTGGTTAGCAGTCAAGTGCCTTAGGCACTATGCTACCAGAGCTCCTTTAGTTTTTTGTATTTCACTGTACATAAATTATATTTTAATAAAATGCATTTTAAAAATACAAAGAACTTTGAGAGAAACTCAAATTCTTACAATATGTTAAAATTTAGTTGTTCCAAATAATTCTTCACAAGTTAATTGGGAAATATTTTAATCATGTAGCAATATTGTCTTAGTATTAATATGTTGAATCAGTTTGCCTTATGTACAAACTGATATGCACTTTTGAATGGACATCAGAAATGTTAATACTCTATCTCTTTAATATTTACATGCCACACCATGAGTCTGGTAAAAATCAGTTACTGCTGAATTGACTCTGACTCATGGCAACTGCACATGAGCAGATCTGTGCTCTATAGGGTTTTCAGTAACTGGTTTTTTGGAACTAAATTGCCAGTCCTTTCTTCAAAGATGCTTTTGGATGGATTCAAGCCATTAACCTGTTGGTAGCAGAGCATATTAACAGATTACACTACCCTGGGAGGCCTATAGGTTTGGTTGTTTTTAGGTGCCATCAGTCAGTTCCAGCTCATAGAGACCCTATGTACAACAGAATGAAACACTGCCTGGTCCTGCACCATCCTCACAATCCTTGCAATGCTTGAACCCATTGTTACAGCCCCCATGTCTATCTGTTTCCTTGAGGATCTTCCCCTTTTTTGCTGACCCTCTACTTTACCATGCATGATATCCTTCTCCAGGGAATGGTCCCTTCTGACAACATGACCAAAGTAAATGAGATAAAGTCTGGCCATTCTTACGTCTAAAGACCATTCTGGTACTTCTTCCAGGACAGATTTGTTCTTCTGGCATTCCATGGTATTTTCAGTATTCTTTGCCAACATCACAATTCAAAGGCATCAATTGTTCTTTGGTTTTCTTTATTCATTGTCTAGCTTTCACATGCATATGAGGCAATTGAAAATACCATGTTTTGGATTAGGTGAACCTCAGTCTTCAAAGTGAAATCTTGGTTTTTTAACACATTAAAGAGGTCTTTTGCAACAGGTTTGCCCAGTGCAATACCAGGTCTGATTTCTTGACTGCTGCTTCCATGGGTGTTGATTGCAGATCCAAATAAAATGAAATACCTGACAACCTCAATCTTTTCTCCATTTACTGTGGTGTTGCTTATTTGTCCAATGTGTTTAGGTTTTCTTTATGTTTAGGTGTAATGCATACCGAAGACTGTAGTTTTTGATCTTCATCAGTGCTTCAAGTCTTCACTTTCAACAAGTAAGGTTGTGTCATCTGCATATTGCATGTTGTTAATGAGTGTTCTACCAGTCCTGACACTGTGTTCTTCTTCATATAATCCAGCTTTCTGGATTATTTGCTCATATACAGGTTGAATAAATATGGTGAGAGGATACAACCCTGATACACATCCTTCCTGGTTTTAAAGGTTTGCTGGTAGGTATTAAATTGATCAGAGGAGAAAAGCTGACCAGGTACCAATCTGAAGCTCTTACTTATTCTAAGTCTCTTAAAGCGAAGCTTATTAACACTCTGTTCACATTGTGTTCTTCACATTTCCTATATTAGTTGTCAATATTTAAAAATCTAGAGAAAAACAGCTCCTTTCAAGGCCTGCATTCTTATATAGCAGCAATTGGCTGAAGCTGCCAACTTCACAAAGCATTTCCTCTTGACCACATAAATACCCATTTATGTCATTGGTTGACCCCATCATCATTTGAGTTTGTAACCCTCCCAAAGAATCTGTAAAAGTATTATTAGTCACTAAGATTTTACAAAAAGCTACATTACTCTTGTAGAAAGTCATCTTGCTTGTCAGCAAATTGTTTGCATACAAACTGGTCTTCGGTAAACATGTTGAGTGGCAGGAAAGAAAGGTCAGGTGTGTCATCATTTTCTGAGTTGATAATGCATTCTCCTCGAAATGGAACTGGCTGCTCACAGCACTGAGAAATTTTGCTGGATAAGATAGCCTGTTTAGAGCAAGTATAGTTCATAAGCTGGCTCTAGAAAACAGAAAAGAGAGCAGTTATTTTTTAAGTATTTCATTCTAAACTTACTTATTTTTAGAAGTAGTAGAAAACCAGAGAAGAATTTGGTACCTTATATTGCTTTCTCCCTGGCATATTGGAAGACCAAAAAGGTCACACTTATAGTTATTCACTCTGATGAGGAAAGGTTCTCCATTTAACCTTACACAAGGTCACAAGCTCTTTTAATGTGTCTCAAAGAACATAAAGGAAGACCAAAAAAAAAAAAACTTCACTGCCATCAAGTAGGATCTGACTCATAACAACCCCTCCTTGGGTGTCTATGGAAGTAGATTGCCCAGTCTTCCTTCCAAAGAGTGGCTGATGGGTTTGAACCACCAGCTTTCTGGTTAGCAGTCAAATGCCTTAGGCACCAGAGCTCCCTAAAGGAAGACAGACTATATTATTGTTTCCTTTTGTAGCTCAACAAAACACAAATGAAGAGTTTGTTTTGCTATTGTTATTGTTTTCTAGTCCTAGTTCAGGAAGCATTTTGTCTCTGAAGCATATCACAATGTGTTCATTTACTATAGATGATTCAGCTACACACACATACATATACACATTTATTTATATATACATACACAGAAATAATTGTGTGTGTATGTGTGTGTGTTAATAAACCTGTCTCTGTGCTTAAGGAACTTACAATCTAGTTGGAGAGTCAAATATTTAAAGAACTAGTAAGAATGAGGAACTCAAATCTAACCGGAGAGTTACATAATCAGAGGAACAATAATAATATGATGCATTATAATAGAAGCTTTAATACCAGGGCACACATGATGCTTAGGGAGAAAAAGATATTAAAATTCCTGTTTGGTTGGAGTTAAGAGTGATGATCTTGAACAAGAAGTAGGTATGTTGGGAGCAGATGAGAAGGAAAAGCATTCTAGAATTAGTCATCTTTATAGATGAAGGATCTTAGAAGTGACACAGCATGATATATTTGAGAAATGTTATATAGGATATTTGAAGGGTTTTGAAAAAAATTAGATGAGGGATGTTGAGATTGTAACCATATCAGTGATTAGGTATACTTAAGAGCTACTGAGAGGTAAAATTAGCAAGATTTTAATAAATTAAAGTAAGGCTAGGATTAAGGAGGAATGAGGAAGAAGAATCTAGAATGATACAGGGGACTAGGTCAATGGTAGCACAATTTATTGAAATTGATATTCAAGAGAAAGAATAGATTTGGGGAGCGTGGTTGAAGAGGGAAGCCAAAAAGTTCATTGTTGAAATACAGAACTTAAGAAGATTTTAAGGCATCTATGAAGCATTTGAAAGAGCTCTAGTGGGGTAGTGATTAAGGCATTTGGCTGCTAACCCAAAGGTCAGTGATACAAACCCACCAGCCACTCAGAGGAATAAACATGAGGCAGTCAGCTTCCATAAAGACTGACAGCCTTAGATATCCAACATGGGTTGCTATGAGTCAGAATCAATAACAGCAGTGAGTTTTATGAGGCATCTAAGAAACCCTGGTGGCATGTGGATAAAGCACTCAGCTGCTAACTGAAAGTTCAGTGGATCCAACTCACCAGCCACTCCTTGGAGGAAAGATGTGGCAATCAGCTTCCTTAAAGATTTATTGTTGTTGTAAGTGCCATCAAGTTGGTTCTGACTAATAGCAACTCCATGTACAATAGAACAGAATACTGCCAGGTCCTGCACCATCCTCACAATTTTTGTTATGCTTGAGTCCATAATTGCAGCTGCAGTGTCAATCTATCTTGTTGAATGTCTTCCTCTTTCTTGCAGATCTTCTAGTTTACTAAGCATGATATCTTTCTCCAAGGACCCATCTTTTCTGACATGACCAATGTAGGTGAGATGAAGGTTGGCCATTCTCTCTTCCAAGGAGCATTTTGGTTGTACTTCTTGCAAGACAAATTTGTTCCTTTTTCTGGCAGGCATGCTATTTTCAATATTCTTCACCAAAACCACAACTCAAATGCATCAATCTTTCACATGAACATAAGGCTATTGAAAATATTATGGCTTGGGTCAGGTGCATCTTAGTCTTCAAAGTGATATCTTTGCCCCTCAACACTTTAAAGAGGTCTTTTGCAGCATATTTGCCCAGTGCAATATGATGTCTGATTTCTTGACTACTGCTTCATGAGTGTCAGTTGAGGATCCAAGTAGAATGAAATCTTTGACAACATGAATATTTTCTCCATTTATCATGGTGTTGCTTATTGGTCCAGTTGTGAAGATTTTTTTTTTCCTTTATATTTCAGTAAGACTATAGTCATTGATACTTAAATGCTTCAAGTCATCTTCATTTTCAGCAAGCAAGGTTGTATCATCTGCATATCACAGGTTGTTAATGAGTCTTCCTCTAATCCTGATGCCACATTTTTCTTCATATAGGCCATCTTCTCAGATTTTTGCCCAGCATACAGGTTGAATAAGTATGGTGAAAGGATGCAGCCCTGACAGACACCTTTCCTGAATTTAAACATGCAGTATCTCCTTCTGTTTGAACGAGTGCTTCTTGGTCTATGTACAGGTTCCTTATGAGCACAGCTAAGTGTTCTGGAATTCCCATTCTTCTCAATATTACCCATAATTTGTTATGATCCACAGAGTTGAATGCCTTTATATAGTCAGTAAAACTCAGACAAACTTCTTTCCGGAATTCTTTTCTTTCAGCCAAGATCCATCTGATATCAGCAATGATATTCCTCATTCCACATCCTCTTCTGAATGTAGCTTGCATTTCTGGAAGTTCCCTATCAAGATACCGCTGCAAGTGTTTTTGAATTATCTTCTGCAAAATTTTACTTGTAGGGGTTATTACTGATACTGTTTGATTGTTCCCCCATTCTGTTGGATCACTTTTCTTTGGAATGGGCACGAATATGGATCTCTTCCAGTCAGATGGCCAGGTAGCTGTCTTCGAAATTTCTTGGCATAAATGAGTGAGCACCTTCAGTGCTGCTTCCATTTGTTGAAACATCTCAGTGAGCATTCTGTCAATTCCTAGAGACTTGTTTTTTGCCAACTCCTTCAGTGCAACTTAGACTTCTTCCTTTAATACCATCGATTCTTGATCATATGATACCTCCTGAAATTTTGAGCATTGACCAATTCTTTTTCTTACAGTGACTGTGTATTCCTTCCATCTTCCTTCGATGCTTCATGCATCATTCAATATTTTGCCCATAGAATAGTTCAATATTTACTTCAAAGATTTACTGCCTTACAAACCCTTTGGGATAGTTCTACTCTGTCTTACAGGGTCACTATGAGTTGGAATCAACTCAATGGCAATGGGATGAGGCATCTACACAGGGATTTCTGTAAGCAGATGGGGGCTCAGGAAAGAAAAATGATTTGAAAGTCTAGATCTTACAGCAGTCACTTGTAGGTACATTATTACGTCTGAATGAAATGGATGAGGAAGAGTGTGTACATTAGTCAAACAATTCTCAATATTTAGCACACTCTCTGTGGCTTTAAAAAAAAAAATCAGTTAATTTACCTTAGTAAAGTTCTACTGGAGAGAGAAGAGAGTATCTCCTGCAAGCAGTGTTGTTGTTGCTGTCGTTAGGTACTGTCAAGTCAACTCCGTCTCATAGCGACTCTGTACAATAGAACAAAACACTACCCAGTCCTGTGCCAGCCTCACAATCCTTGCTATACCTGAGCCTATCATTGCAGCCACTGTGTCAATCCATCTCATTGAGGGCCTTCCCCTTTTTTGCTGACCCTCCACATTACCAAGCATGGTATCTTTCTCCAGAGAATGGTCCTTTCTGACAACATAACCAAAGTACGTGAGATGAAGTCTGGCCATTCTAGCTTCCAAGGAGAATTCCAGCTGCACTTCTTCCAGGACAAATTTGTTCTTCTGGCAGTCCATGGTGTTTTCAGTATTCTTTGCAAACACCACAACTCAAAAGCATCAAGTCTTCTTCGATTTTCTTTACTCATTGTCCAGCTTTCACATGCATATGAGTCAACTGAAAATACCATGGCTTAGGTTAGGCTCACCTTAGTCTTCAGAGACACATCTTTACTCTCCAGCACTTGAAAGAGGTCCTTTGCAGCAGATTTGCCAATGCAATATGATGTCTGATTTCTTGACTGCTGCTACCATTGGTGTTGATTGTGGAACCAAGTAATATGGAATCTTTGACAACTTCAATCTTCTCTCCATTTATCACGATGCTGCTTATTGGTCC